ATAGTTTGGCGTTAAAACTCTCAAGCATCCTCCCTCGCAGGGCCCTCCTGCTGCCCTTGGTGTGGACAAAAGGAGATGTTTGAAAGTGGTGTTTGCTTCTTTTTTCATTCACTGCAACAGCTCACTGTTACATCCAATGCTGGATAAACACTGGATCATTTTAGAAAAAGATTTAGGGTTTGGACATAACACTAAAATGTGGTTAATTAAGGGTGTGATCACAAGGGGAAATAGATCACAATTTGGAGTCCTTATAGAGTGGTCTGGTGGAATCTATTTCTCGGTGATCACACAGTCCATGGAGAAATGCATTCCTGTCTGACTCCAATGTGTATCCAACCTGGACCTTTTTGGTCCATGGGTAGGGCTTCCACCTTTTGAGGTTGGGTTGGAGAGATAGATACTCAGCAGACAGAAGTGTCTGTTTAAGGGAAATCACTCCCTACACAGTAACCCTTCCTGGTGCAATAAGATGCATCCCTTTGCCACTATCTGAACACACCCTAAGAAGGGAAGTGGGATTTCGAGATCTCTCCTTCCAAGTGTGCAGGAGGACGGGTTGTGGAAGAACATCAAGCCAAGACCGACAGCCAAGCCTGAATGGTTCATTTCTTTAAGTTCAACTTCCAGCAATGACCATGATAGCGAAGGGATTTTGGTACAGTAGTTGTATTCAAAAAAGTAGTTTCCCAAAACTTGTTCTTTTAATGTGGCTTTTGATCTGTAATCGTAGCAGGGAGACCTACCATCACTCATGGCCTGCCCCACTTGAGGACTCCCTCTTCCTCTAAAATAATGGTTCTGACGTGACTCCAATTGACGTAACTTGCCCAATATGTCAACAAAATGTAATCTCCCACTCTTTTAATGTAGGAATTGCCAATTCTCTGTGTAGCTCTACCCCAGGCCTAACAGGAGCCCCGTGAAATTGCTGGCACAATTATTTGGACATGTGTCTCGATAATGCCTCATCCCCTGAGAAGCTTCTGGCCAAGGTGGTGTTTATATAGTTGGCCAAAGAGCAGCTGGGGCATAAAGCAGGCAATGCTAGGTTGGTGGCAGCAATGGGAGAGGTCATGCTTCAGAGAGTAGGTGTCCATGGTAGCTCCACTGCCCCCAGGCTCGTATGGGGTGATATGATCCTTCAAACAGCCTGGACTCAAGCCATATAGGAGTTGGGTCCAGGTCATTTGAATAGGGCCCAGAAGCAGACTGGCAGCTGATGAAGCTGTTATAACAAGGGAACTACATAACCAGCACCAGTCAGAAGTCTGGCTGAAGCATTTTGAACCAGCTGAAGTTTCCAAACACTCTCCAAGATTAGCCCCATATAGAGCATGTTGCAGTAGTCCAAAAGGACTGTAGCTAAAGCATGTGCTCCATGCAAGATCAATAAAGTGAATGTCTGTTTTCTATTCTATTGAACAAGCACATTCAAGCAGATACAGTGGTGCCTCGCTTAGCGATGTTAATCCGTGCAGCAAAAACCGCTGCTATGCAATTTCATCACTAAGCGATTTTTAAAAGCCCATAGAAACGCATCAAAACACGTTTAATGCGTTCCTATGGGCTTAAAAACTCACCTTATGCGAAAATCCTCCATATAGGTGCTGCTTTTTAACAGTCAGTCTGAAGACAATTTTTTCTTAGTTGTTGCAAATTTTTACAGGAATTTTAACTCGTTCTATAATTATTTTATTTTGCTCCTTCGAGGAAGTATAAAAATAAATCGACATAAAACTTCTACCAATAAGGGGTGTTGCTAGCACTGAATGTAATAATGATCATTTATTTGTTAACACCAGAGTTCAATTCCTGATTTGCATACGTTTAACTGAAATGGCACAAGTCATGGCAGCATATTGCCTCTAATGAATGAGTTGTTAATTGCATTTCTAGGTTTCATGCCAATGTAAAGGAGCACTAATACGAGTGATGCATATGCATCACAGGACATTTTCAATCAATAATACACAAGGCTGCATAGTAAAACCTTTTCTATATAGAGAAGGTTTCTATTAAGCCATGCATAGCAAATGAGTGGTTTTAAGTCTGTTTGATATTTTTATAGTAGATGTATATTGGGTTACTTCTTTATATATATTGTTTGTTTGCTGACTTCTTTTTTCGTTCACTTCCACATTCTCAGTGTTTATCTGAAATATCTTTAATAGCAAATAATCCAGCACTTTCTCCCCTGTGTGTTTGGTGAACTGAACTGAGGGAGGGAATCTCTCTTGACAACCAAAATAGAGTCTTAGAAGAGTATAAAATTCTGTATGGCTTGGTCAGGTTTTTTACTTGCATTTGAAACCAGAGAGACAGAGCTAATGTATACCACATCAAGGTCTTTATTCTTGAACTCAGTATCATTCTTACTAACTCATCATGCCTTTCCGAATTTTATCTTTCTGGATACAGCAGAAGTGTGGTGCCACTGAAGTTTACACATAGTTGGAGGAAAGATTACTTCACAAAGATTGAGACGGTAAAATCATTTTTGGCTTCAGTTACTCCGCTTCACAGAAGCACAGATTCTCTCTTACTTTATCAGATGCATGTTTGCTTATTACTCTAACCAATGGTGACTGCGTGTATTTATGTACATGATCTTATGAGAATCTCTCTTCCTCTCTATGTCTTGGCTCTGTTATATGGTAAACTTATTTCACCTCCACCTTACTGTTCTTGTGCCATCTTTCTTGTCCATGGTCTATTGGCATATCAAGATCAGAAATATGTGTCAGTGTCTGAGAGAGGGGATATATTCACAGATACATATGCACACATAATTTTCATTAGGGTTGCTTCATTCAAAGAATCATCAGAATTCATGACAACAGTTATGACTTGCAACAACTAATAATAATTAATCATGAAATCCTGTCAAGATTAAAACCCTTTCCATGGTTTTCTAAGTATAGAGCACTCAGAAGTGGGTTACTGATCTCTTGTTGTAGGAGCATTCTGGAATTTATAGGCTTGCCCAAAGCTATACAAGATGGTGCATCTGTGGTAAATTTCAAAGCCCAACCTCTGGCTCTGCAGCCAGGTACTCAAATTACTGGCCTATCTAGTCAGCCAAAGACTGTAATTTCTGAAAAGTTAGAAGAGCTTTATTTTATATATATATATACAGTAGTGTGAAGTTGTAGGAGAGAGAATGAGACAGTAATGTGGGAAAGACAGAACGTTAAGCCTTTACTCCAGCCACTGTTTTCATTGGAGTTCTATAACTTTATCTACTATTCATTGTGAAAGGAAAGCTCCAATTGGCATTTCTTACACTACAGACCTGGGGTATCCACTGTTCTTCCTGTTAGGCACAATTGTAGTTAATTCTGGTTAACCTTATCACTCTGTATATGTCCAGAGGTTGACAGAGAGTTGGATTAATGATGTAACTAAAGTTAGGTGGATGCTCCTGCTTCGGTTCCTTATAACCTCTCAATTTTTCCCACCTTAAATTCTATTTTTCTTGACTTTTGAGGATTTGGACTTGTTTGTGTGCTTTTGTGAGCATGAAAATGCATATGATTTTTTTTGCTAGCAATAATCAAGTACCTGCTATTTTCTATGCAATTTCCTATAATGGACATGCTTATGTAATACATCGTCCTTACATGATGAGGTCTTCAAAATGGTTTTCACTAATATATTGTTTGTGCATGCTTCTGTGATTATATATTATCTGTATGCCATTTTTATTAGAATGCATCCTTGAAAAATGTAAGCACCACACTGAGTAAGCTCTATTCAGCATGCAATAAAGGATTTAATCCCAACCGAAGAGTAGGAGGAGCACACTAACCCTGCCATCCCCATCATGGCTCTTATGTGTAGAGAACTAAATCTAAAGCAGAGAACCACCTCTAAGCATGGAGTATCTCATTGCTGGATAGATCAGTGGTTTAGGTCTTTGATTGCAGAGCCAGAGGTTTGGAATTCAATTTCCCACTGGGCCTCCTTGACTGGACTCGGTGATACACAGGGTCCCTTCCAGCTCTGCAGTCCTAATTCCAATTGGGAACTCTGCTTGTCTAGGTTTTCTGATGGAGACCCCCTCACCTTTAACTCAGGTGTTTGGTCACCCCTTTTTGTACATACCAGACTCCTTATCTGGTTTTGGACACTTGAACCTATAATTTGAACTTTTAGAAATTCCAAGCAGTCACTAATTAATTGCATGAGTGCCATCTCATCTAATACGGTCATAAGGTAACTGGAACTTTTCTGGGAGGAAGATTACTAACAGCCAGTGTAAATGGGGAAGCACATGACTTTAAAGGAGCTGACTGGATGATACAGTGTCACGTTCCCGGGGGTTACAATAGCCAGAGTCCAATAAGCCAGTCCAGGGTCAGAGTTATCAAGAATGCAAAGCCAAAGTCCAGAAACCAACTCACAGTAATAAGTCCAGTGTCAAAGTCCAGGGTCCGATGAACAGTGTAGCTCAGGGTCAGAGTCCAAGGTCCAGAGTCCAGTACCAACACAGTCCAGGGTCAAAGTCCAGAATCCAGAAACAGGAACACAATACCAGGAGCGTGGATGCCAGTCAAAGTTTGACTCTTTGCTTCCATGAAGTTCCTGGCTTCACTGGAAGCTGTTTTATAATGAAACAGCCCCTTGAGCTGCTGGAAGGCTTTCCATTCTGCTAATACTCAGGACTAGGTGAGTCTAGGTCTCTATGGAAAGCCTTCGAGCGATCCTCTGCTCTTCTTGTCCTGAGTCTTTCCCGGAGCCTGCCCCGAAGCCTGTCTGCTGTGGAGGGAGAATCTGGGAGCGGTTCATGTGTTTCTAATATCTCCACATTCTCCTCAGCCACAGTTAACCCTTCTGGGTCCAGGTCTTCGGAGGCACCCATGACATACAGAGAGTAGTAATGTGCACACTGTGATGAAATTTGGAATCATAAATGACTGAGCAAGAATTACTAGTTTTAACCTGTTGTATTTATCATTCTTTTTCTTACATATTCCCAGCAACATTCTGAAGAAGAGATGCCCAATGGAAGTGTTGTAAATGAATTCCTACTTCTTGGATTCTCGAACAGCCCAGAGTTACAGATCTTGTATTTTGTCATATTTCTAACAATTTACCTGGCAGCTCTGATGGCAAACTTCCTGATCATTACCATCATATCTCTTGACCACCACCTTCACACCCCAATGTATTTCTTCTTGATTAATTTGTCCATTGTCGATCTTGGTGCCATCTCTGTTACCATCCCCAAATCTATGAGCCACACCAGGTCAATCTCCTACTTGGGATGTGCTGCTCAAGTGTTCTTCCTCGTCTTCTTTATGGCAGCGGACCTCTCCTTCCTCACCATTATGGCATATGACCGATATGTAGCCATTTGTCATCCCTTGAATTATACAAGACTGATGAGCAAGGGCTCTTGTGTCCAAATGGCAGTCACTTCCTGGGTCAGTGGTCTCCTTTACGGAACATTACATGTCAGCAGCACCTTTACAATAACATTCTGCTCCCACAACATCAACCAGTTCTTTTGTGAAATTCCACAAGTACTGAAGCTCTCCTGCTCTAACTTGTACCTCATAGAAGCTGGGGCCCTCGCTTTTGGTGCATGTTTAGTTTTCAGTTGCTTTATATTCATAACAATTTCTTATGTTCAGATCTTCAGAGCAGTAATGAAAATTCCATCAACGAAAGGAAGGCAGAAAGCATTCTCTACCTGCTTGCCCCACCTGACTGTAGTCTCCTTATTTATCTTCACCTGCTCCTTTGCCTACCTGAGACCAATCTCTAGATCTTCATCTGATCTTGACCTTGCAGTTGCTGTGATCTACTGTGCTGTGCCACCAATGATGAATCCAGTAATTTATAGTATAAGGAATAAGGAGATCCAAGCAGCTCTAGGGAGGTTGATGAAGAAAGTTGTGAATCAGATTATTTAAGTCATGCTTGCTTGCACTGTTGTTGTTTAGTCGTGAAGTTGTGTCCGACTCTTCATGACCCACCCCATGGACCAGAGCACACCAGGTCCTACTGTCTTCCACCGCCTCTCAGAGTTTGGTCAAATTCATGTTGGTAGCTTCGATGACACTGTCCAGCCATCTTGTCCTCTGCTTACCTTGCTCAAATATGTGTATAAGTGATGATAGTAAACTGTAAAGCATCCTTTTTATTAAATAGGGACATGGAAGAGAGAAAAGGAAGCAGAACCAGTCCTTATGAAGCCAGTCCTTCCCTTTTACTTCTGTTTATAGGTATAGAATCATAGACCTGGACTGGAACCTTGGGGCATTTACTACATAATATCCTGACAAACAGCAGCCTAGCTTCTGCTTAAATGCTTCCAGTGAAAGAGAACCTTCTACTCTCTGGGACACTTTGCTTCACTTCCAAACAGTTCTTAATGTCTGGAGCTTTCTCGTAATAATTCAGACACATGCTGATCCCAACATGGAGTTTCCTCTCAACTGTGTAAGTAGTGGTATCAATGCATATTCACCAATCATACTGGCACAATAAGGATCTTTGAAATTCACAAGGCGTATGTGACAGAATGCCCACGTCACCCCTGTCACTCATAGCTGAAGCTCAAGGGCAGGAACCTATGAGAGGACAGGAGGGGCAAAGATAGTTAGAGAGAGGAGGAGTTAGGAGGAGAGGAGGTGGAAGAGAGAGTGAGTATGTGGAGGAGAGAAATTAAATAGTCAAGATAGATAGAGGACTAGAGAGAACTGATATTATTAATAAGTTGGTTAGAGTGAATAAATCAATAAAACTAATGAAGAAGTGAACGTGTAACCAAGTATAAGAAGTTTTAATGAGTGATTCTATACAATGATTAATAAGAACATCTGTGATTCAAATTCAATCTAAATAAACAAGTTATGTTGGCATCAAGTGTCTGATTCAAGTATTGTGCAGCGGATGAAAGAGAAAACGTCGCCAGAGTGAACCTTAGTTTAGGGGGGGAAAACAAACAGGGAACATTGTGTATTATTCGCATAATAATTCAGACACATACTGATCCCAACATGGAGTTTCCTCTCAACTGTATCAGTAGTGGTATCAATACATATTCGCCAATCATCAAAGTAGTGAGAAACTCCAGCAGTGGTCCTACATATGCTTTCCTTTGGAGATGATCACACTGACACAATAAGGATCTTTGAAATTCACAAGGCATAAATAGGTGCAAACCAAAAAAAAAACTCCTTCAGGTTAAAAGTCACCCCCACTGACATCACAGCCACCAGCCTCAATTGTTTGAAGTCATTGGATTCCAAACACCAGACAGAGGATTTCCAATTGGCACTTCAGCAAGGAAACAAGTTTGGTTTTTCCCCACTTATGGACAGGAGTAAAAGCCCCTGTCAGATTTACAAGCACCTCAGTTGAACTTAAATCAGTATTTAACCAGGGTGCTTCTAAATGAGAATGAGAAGCAACATCTTGCCTCTCCTTTGCCCTTCCATGGAGGGAAGCAATAGAAAGCAAAGTCTTCTCAGCTGGTGGCTGAGTTTTGGTTAGGATTCAGCCCTGATACTTGTAAACCAGGCTGAAAATACCTTTCTATCATTGCATCCCAGTTACCCTCACAATGGAAACCCTGAGCAGGACAAAAAGGAGATCCCATATCATTTCCAGCCAGTGATGAGAAATTACATGGGTATGTCTATATTGCCTTTTCAATGGGGAGAACATGCAGCCAGGGAAAATTTAGCAGGCATAGGTCTTGTAGAGGAGATTCAAAAGAGTCAAACTTCATTGGCTAGATCCACATCCTTACGGGCCAGATTAGGGCCATAAATTAGAGATCACTCCCAATGAGAATGCATGAACAGGCACAATGTAGCTTTATCTACTCATGTTTACTTCCCATTGTTGTCAATAGGAAAGCTCTTTATTTTTCCTGTTGAAGTCAACAGGGTTTGAACATACTTAACTGCAACAGGATTGTGCTCCAAGCAATTTGCACACACTTCAACACTTTTCAGTGTTCTGGTTAAACACTATTTAAAAAAGAATGTCTAAGAACTTCTAGGAGTGTTTATGTACTCTTTTTCTCAGGCTCATTTTTGTCACTCTATGAATTTAATGTCAACATCCATGTCATGGGACCAAGACTGCACTGGTCGATCTGCAAGATGGCCTGTTAGAGGAGGCTAGCAGGGGGCTTTGACCCTGTTAGTGCTCTTTGATTTCTCTGTGTCTTTTGATAACCATCAGCTTTAGTGTCGTCCTGGACAGACTGTCAGGGCTTGGGATTGGTGGGCTAGTTCAGGTCCAGTGTGTTCAGCTTGGAGAGTCTTTTTCATCCCCATGGACCTTCGGTTGTGGGGTGCCTCTCTCCAAGTGTTTTGTAACATCTGCACAGAGACTGCTGTAAGAATTCATCCGTTTTGGAATGTGTTGTCATCAATATCCTGATAACACTTGTCTCTATTTCTCCTTTACATCCTCTGGTTGTCCAGGACCTTGAATCCAGCTTCAACCTATTTGCCCTGTTTCTGGGGCCGGGGGGGGGGGCAGACTGTTTAGGGAAGCATCTGTCTGAGCTGGATGGGCAACTTTTTCC